TTATTTTCTACAAATTTTCGAGTTTTTCAACTTTGTTCTTGTTTCAAGAAGTAAATTCTATCCTATTTATAATATGATTGTCCTGCGTCAGATTTAGTTGAGTTAAGTGGTTAAGTTGATTAGTATATCTAAGAGATGGATAAAGAAAATCTCTTGAGACAAAGGGATAATATATCCAAATTTTGCATTTTCAGTTTGGTCACTTTTCTTATTTCTTAATGAGAAGATGGTAAAGAAGAACGCAGGGGATTATATATGCTAATCATGCACTCTTTTTCCTATTGAATAAGGAATTTGAGTATTTTCCTCCTTCACAGTCAATATCTACATCCATGCTATTTGTGCTTCATCATGCGAATACTTTGTTTGAATGTCTTTCTGGTAAAGGTTCATGTGAATGATGACAAATGGTTGATCTCTGTTTTGCATAGCTATCTATCTATCTTCTAAAAAAAGTCGTATCAGTATTACCTAGTTTAGTGTTTTGCTCTTTTGATATAAGAAATCTTTTATTATCATGGTTTTTAACTGTCAGTCTTATTATGGTTCAGAAACCGAAATTATTTCTATATGAATTAATTGAAATTCGTTTCTGCAGGAAAAGATTATGAGAGTTCCATATGGATCGCATAAAGAGTACTTTAAATACTCATTGTTTCTTGTCTTCTGTAACCGCATTACAACATCCGCTGTATCTGCAGGAGTTTTACTGGTAACTGCGCTTTAATGCTTGATTCATCAGTTTTCTTACTTCTTACCAAGCTCTCACATTGAACTCAAGTTCCCTGGACCTGTTAAAACTGGTCATATTAGTATGATTTTGTCCTGCTGCCTGCCTTACTGCAAGGCGGATATAATTCGCCAAATGTATGAGTTAGATGTCATAGAGCTTTTCAGCATTTTATTTGTAAGTTTATTTTGCCCGTGCTTCTCTTCTCTAGGTGAGTGGGAAGGCCCTGGATGCTGTTGCTCCACTTTACAAGTATGGTGTGGTATCAGTGACTAATATACTTACTACAACATGTCAGTATGAGGTAACCTGTGCTCCCTTTCAAATTTTAATATAAACATGTTCGTTTAGTTAGTTAAGAGTTTATTTGATATTTTTTATTTATTTTTGAGTTTTAAGATGTAAAGAAAAATGTGTAACATGAAATTTTCTTGCTTTACTTGCTCCAGGCCCTTAAATATGTCAGTTTCCCAGTTCAGACACTGGCGAAGTGTGCCAAAATGATACCTGTAATGGTAAGATAGTAATACTGTTATTGAGGAAACAGAAGTACAGAACTCAAGTTACCATTCTGTTGATAATTCTCATTATTTTTTTACGATCGCTTAATTTGAATTTTTTAATTTTCACGGGTCTTCTTTGTTTACCCTATGTTATGGTTTGGCCAATATTTGTCCTTGCTTGAGGAAATTTGTCCCATCTTCTGCACTTGCCAATGTTTGTGGTCATTAATTTCGTTTTCCATTCATTGCTTATGAATGTAATATGTGTAGATTTTTCTTTTGACCTAGTTTTATTCGACACCCCTATTATGACTTTGCAGAGTCTTTAATCATACTCGCATTTTGATTCCCTTTTAAATGGTAAGTATGAAGTTGACCACAAAATCTATAAGATTGAATATTATGTTTGTCAGCACCCTTAATTTAGCCCCAGTTTGATGCCCATTAAAAAGAGTTTCTTTTTTAGGAAAATGAGTTTTGGAATAATACTTTTTTGGAGAATGTGTGGTTAAAAAACTATGTAAATGTTTTGGATTTACATGCAAAATATTTTGTTGTGAGAATGTATAATTGAAAATGAGTTTCAGAAAAAAAAAAAAAAGGTTTTTGGAGAACAGTAGACAAACATGGGCTTAATTTCATTCTGCTAGGGCTTTAGTTCAATGTTGATTAGTTTACTCTTAGATAAGAATACTGACATGAGAAAATCCTAAGAACTACAATAGTTTTTGGGGTTTAAAAATCAAATCAATCACTATGGATTGCAACTTTGAATAATCAAGAGTTTTGCTAAAAAAAAAGTTAGCAGCATATTTTATTTGAAAGAAAATAAAATGTATCTCTTGGACACCCTCCTTTATTCTCAAGTCTTAAAATGGTTAATACTTCAATTCCAATACTTGCTTTAAAGTTTACCATGTGTAAGCGAGGTATGCTAGAAGTTAGATCCTAATAAATATGAAGTCATAGTGTATTGATCTAATCAAGCCAATTCAAATAACTACTGTGCTTCGTAGAAGTTATGTTCTTGATTATTTATCAAAATGAGAAGTTATCTTCCTGGTTGGTTTGGATTCAGAGTTCATTTATTTGTGTTTGTGATTCTGCTAACTTTTACGTACAATACAATTTTTTTTTAGCTTTCCTCCATTTTTCTTAACTTTCTTTCCCCCTGTTCTGATGCAG